GTAACAGTCACTAACATTTGTTGAAGATTTATGAGCATATAAGTGAGATAGACATGGACCCTGCCCTTGAGTCTTGTAAGCTAGCAGGAAAAATAGACACTGACAAATAATTCCAAATGTTATCAATGCTATATGGAATAGCAGGGCACAAGGGGTGGGTGTGACAGGTGGCCCAATCTAGTCTAGGGGTCAGTGAAGGCTTCTCTGAGGAGTGACATTTAATTAGCTATCAAAAGGAAAGACAAGATTGAGAAGGAGTATTCTAGACAGAAAGAAGACCGTGAACAAGAGTTCTGATCAAGAAAAAATGTGCACAGGGGACATATCTCTCTGGGGTCAGAGTAATGCCTATGGGGTCAGAGGTATGCAAAGACCCAAATTTAATCCTCAGCACTACATGGTCTCCCAAGCATTGCCAGGGATATTCCTGGGGTCTCTTAAGCACTGCTCAGCCCTGTCGAATTACATTGCCGGAGTGAGCATTGAACTGTCTGGTGTGGTTGGCTAAGTATCTCCAGGAGTGACCCCCAGCCTCCCTGAGCACTGAATAGGAGCCTGCCTTCAATCCATCCCATCCCTAGAATAAAAAGCTATATATTAGAAGAACTGAAGGGGGAAAAAAACGGCTAAATTTCAGAGGGCCAGTTGGGTAGTAAAAGGTATTAGCTGGAGTGGGAAAGGCTGCAGCAAGACCATGCTTACCCTTAGAGACCACCTGAGTCTGGACCTTATTCCAAGAGCAACGGGAAAGTAGCTTCATTCCAAGAGCAACGGGAGCTCATTCCAAGAGCTGTTGCTAGATGTTAAGCAAGGAGTAGCATGGTCTGATTTGAACTTTAATATAATAATTACCTAGATTAGAGGAAAGAGAGGGAACTGCAGAGGGTCGAAATGATGGTGATTGGACTAAGGTGGCAGTATTTGTAAAGCAACTCTAAGTTAAAGATGTCTGGTTTAAATTAAAAAGCATCCTATAATGGACTCTCTTGCTTATATTAATGTCCATTGTCAAAACTGTTCCTTTTACAGACATTAGAATTATGCAAGCCCATCTGTGGGGATTCTTGAGTAAAAAAACAGTGGAAAGGAGAAACAGAAATACAGTTCTCCCCTGGAATTTTATGCTTAATTGTAACTGGTTCCCATCTCCTTCCACTGTCTTTGGGAGGAATGTTATACTCAGCAAAAAGACAGAGAGTTTGCCTTAAAATGATAGTCACTATAAAAAAAAAATAGTCACTGTCACTGTCACTCCCATTGTTCATCGATTTGCTCGAGCGGGACCAGTAACTTTGTAAGACTTGTTGTTACTGTGTTTGGCATATCGAATACGTCACGAGTCATTTGCCATGCTTTGCCGTGCCCGCGAGATACTCTCAGAAGCTGGCCAGGCTCTCTGAGAGGGGCAGAGGAATCTAAGGCGGAGGAATCGAACTCATGTCAGACCTGGCCGCATGCAAGGCAAATGCCTTACCCGCTGTGCAATTGCTCCAGCTGAAAAATGGATTTCAGGAAAAACTGTTTTTTGTACATATTACAAAACTATTTTAATTGTTGACCTTAGATCCTCTTAACTTGAAAGGAAAAGGTTATTTTTTAAGAAATTAGAGTTGTAAGCTGTATTTTTGTTGGGTCACACCCAATGGTGCTCAGGGCTACTCTCTACTTAGGAGTCATTTTTGGTGATGTACAGGGAACTACATGCTCAGGGAACTACATATGGTACCAGGAATCAACCAGATCAGTAAGGTTAGTGCCTTATCCGTACTATCTCTCTGGTCCTGGGATGGAGAAGTGTAATGACAGTGTTTTCATCTCTCTCTGGATTCAGGGAGTGGTTTTCAATAATTTATCACACATTTAAGCAACTGAGTTATGGAGGTCACTGAAATTTAGTGGTAAATTAAATATTTTGCATAGTACTACCAATCCAGTGGAAGAACTGAAAATCTAGTCATTAGATTATTGCAAAATTTAAAAGTATGACTCTGATCATTTCTACAGAAGAAAGGTATTAAAGCTTATCATGAAATTGATATGGATAGCAAATTAGGAGAGTACTAACAGAGTAGAAAAATGACCAGAAGCTGAACAAGTTAAGAAAGAATGGAAAACTAATGACAAAACTAATTAATTCAACCAACATGCATAGAGCACCTGCTAAGTGCCATTACAGTTAACTGCCATATAAAAATGAATGAAGCTTAGTCTGCATGTCAAGGAAAAGAACGTGAGCTGAATTTCACTAATTGTGATTGCATGATTGTTATCTTTCCTAACTTCGGTGTTTTAATCCATAAAGTAGAAATAACTGTGGAATTGTTGTAATAATTTAAAAGGTTAAATTCCTTAGTTCACTATCTGGCATAAATAACAAATTTGCTAATGACTAGACCAAGACATGACATAGTGTTAGAAGCATTGTTTACAGTGGTCAAAGGCTCATTTTCCATCATATCAATATTTGAATCCCAGGTTCAATAATTATCAGATCTATGACCTTGAGCAAATGACAAACTTGCTAATCTTTACTTTCTTTATCTATGAAACAAAGATAAATTGAAATAGTCCTTCATTTTTTGAGATGGTTAAAGGAGAAAATGCATGAGAAGTGTGAAAGATTGTTTTATGTGAATACATTATGTTTGTACAATATGTTGTATCACATTGATAAACAAGCAGCAAATTATTTCTTGGTACCATTCTGGAGGGGAGGGTGAATTTAGATAAAACCAAATACTGCATATGGAAGGTCTTGATATAGGCTTTAAAAATGAGGGTGTGTTGGCTAAACAATACTGATCAAGTCACAAAACTGCAATTTGCTATTGTAAAATTAGTAAAGAGAGATGACAGAGGTGAATGTTTAAAAAAAAAACAACTAGTGATTTCCTTCTAATAAACGTCTTTTCTCCAGAGGCTTCCATGAACTGGACAGCAGGATGTTATGGCTAGTAATAGTATGAAATCAGACAGACTTGCATTCCCTTCCCAACTACCAACTGTGTAATCCTAGGTCTGTTACTTTATTTCTCAGAGCTGTGGCTTACTGTAATTTAAAAAGGAAATAATAATAGTTCACTCCTGAAGATACTATTATGAGGATTCAATAAGACTAACACAAGTTAATCCTTTAGACTAAACACAATGTTTGGTACAGAAGTAGACAATAAATGTTAGCTATTGTCGTTAATGCCTCATTGAAGTTGACACCAAACCCAAGAATTTTTCCAGTGTTTGGAAAAGTCACATCAGGTACCAGGTTATATTCTAACACCTTCTCAACAGGGAGGTATCTGAAGAAATATGAACAAACAAGTGAGTTTCTATATGGAAATGATTGAAGGTACTAACCTTTATGTCCTCAGTAAGCATTGAATAAATTAATGTGATTTATTTTCCTTATTGTGAAATAAAGTTTCTACTATTTATATGAGGCATATTTCTGTAGAGAATCTGTAGTTCACAGATGTGAACTACACTTCTGTAGTTTACCATCATTGGAGATTATTGCTAATCATCACTAATATCTTGAAATATTCATAGGTATTTGCTGACATAAGTATATGGGGGAATCATAGCATTTAAAATAAATATTTAATTACCATCATGCCGTACAAAAGTTTTTTCTTCACTTTTTTGTATATCATTTGTTTTATTTTATTAAATATTCTCACAAACTTGGTCTGCACTTTATATGACATTCTATAAGGATGTACCATGCAATTAGCTTAACTGTAAATATATTGTTAGACTTTAAGATATGTCAAAACTAATTCATCTACAGATGTTAGTTGTTACCTATTCAGTGACTTATTAACTTTTTTGAGGCTGTAAACAACTTAAAAACCTAATTATTAAAATAATACTCTATACTTTCTCTCTTTGAAGAAAATGGAAAATACATTTACATAAAGTACCACCTACAATCTCAGGTGCTTTATAAACTCCATGAAGCTTATTCATGCATCTCTGTCCTCAGGGCTTCAGGTCAGAACCAATAATTTCAAATATGTTAACTGAAGTCAATAAAAAAAAGAAAAGAAAGAAAGAAAAAAAAGAAAAAACTTCACCATAACAACTGAAGAGAAGTATAATTTCTAAAATACTGCTGATTACAGAGTATTTGACTATTTTCATATTACATCCAAATACTGTTCCTTTGTTGTATTTGAAATAACCAAACTGTATTAACACTTCTTTATAACTTCTTGAATGACAATGGTTTGTGTTCTGTACTCTTATGATTCTCAAGTGGCATAAAGTTTCTGCCGGACCCTCAGTAAACTGTCTCACCTTACAGTGAATCTTGCACCTTTGTGACGTATATTAAAGATTCTATGCCAGCCACCTTTCTCCTCTGTGTATCCTAATTGTCTTATGTACCAGTTCAGGAGCAAGTTCACAGCATGATTTTAGCATTGGATAAAGCAGTTACTTCAAGGAAAGGGGGCTCATTTCATAATACCAAAAGTAAACTTTGCAAACTCAAAATAAAGCATAAAGACATAATAAACATCAAAAGGAGGTAGCCATCCTTTTGGTAAGATGTATTATAATGTCAGAAAAATAGGTTTTAATGCAAGCTCTCAGTGATTCTAGCCCAAAAAGGGCACAGTCTAATTTATCTTCTTAACTGTGTACTTAGTCTGATGGGCGATTTATGAGAACAAGGCTAATTCTACATGCCAATTCATATTTTCTGAAGCATACTGATAGGCTCTCAGTATCAAGCATAAACTTATTTACTATTTTTTGTAGTTTCTATCTGCTTGCTGCCAAAGTAGTATAGATATTAATGTGAAAACTGGAATATGAGAGCCCTACCTGTGACAGCAAATTCCTACATGCCTATTTATTTCTACAAGCTTGCGTGTGTTTGGAAAATGCTAAATCATCATTAGGATTACAAAGAATACTAAAAAAAATTTTTTTCATTTGGAAAAAAATTCTAAAACTGATTTTATTAAAGGTGTTTCTTTCCCCCCCCTTCCTCCTAGCTACACCATCCTTCCCAAGGCTTCCGCTTTGGAACTGTTCGAGAAAGCAGTGCTGAAGATTATGTGAGGCAAAGTTTCCCAGAGATGCACGAGTATATGAGAAGGTACAATGTACCAGCCACCACTGACGGAGTAGAATATCTGAAGTGAGTCCCAACTTCGTGAGTCCCAAAAGTTCTTACTTAAAGAGAAGTTATTCAGCTGCTTTTGTGTTTGTTGTTGTTACTTTTAATGATGGCTAAATATACCATTGTTCAGCATTATTTCACACATTGTGGGATCCAGGAACCAGTACGGTGAAGTGTGTATTTAATTATGTGACCTATATTACTAGTTACCTGGATAGTTCCAAGTTGGCAGTAGCTTTCCTGAAAGTGCCAGTGGGGTCATTGCTATGGCAGATGGTGGGGGAAGTAAATGTTCACGGTAACATGACTGGAGAAAAAAAAATAGTGCTGAAATGATCAAACACTCAGGGAATGTGGCCAGAGGATAAAGTGTCCCAAAAAAACTCTTTCCTTCATAAGGGAACCGCTAAGCCCACCACAAGCTGTCTTTCCTTACTACAAGGAAGTGGAATTTATCTTAGAGATTTTCTATGGAAAGGAAATAAGATATAAAGCAATGATTCTCATGCCTGCATCCTTCTCATCAGAATTTATGAGAAGCAATCAAAAGCAATCACAGTGCCATGGCAGATTATCAGAGCCTGTAATTCAGTATGAATCAAAATGCAAAGGAGGATTGTGCAGTTACAGGTCTATTAGGGGTGGAGTGGGAGTGAGATAAGCAAATAAATGGCTCCTGATAAGCACCACAGCATGAGGGTAAGTAAGTAGTTCTCTCTGTCCTGCCTGATGGTCTCAGGACAGTGTAACACGTTCAAACCTCCACCATTCAAACTGTGCAGATATGGAAACTGGTTTTTTGTGGTCAGTCACAATGATCTTCCAAGTGGACAGCAGAGCCTGCCACCTAGAATACTTTCATAAAAGAGAAAATAAATAGTTTCACGGGACATGAGGGTTCTGTATTTCTAAAGAGCTCTTAGTAATAGACCTCTAAAGCAATTTTATGGCTATTTAACTAGAGTCTAGAGAGAAAATCTGTGCACTCAGATTTTCAAAGTTATATATGATGTGCCAGTACTATAAAAGGACACTTTTAACTTTGCAAAAACATTAAAAACTCAGACTCCCTCTATGACACACAGTTTAGGGCTCTTTTGCCTCCAAGATCCTATTTTATATTCCCCCCTTCAGGCAAATTCATGGTTGAAAGGAAGGGAAAAGTGGGAGGTTAATGGCAATAGCCCCCAGCTAGATGGGGATGACTAAAAAGCTGGCCTTTTCTGGGTAGTCACTCCTCTCAGGATATCAATTTATTAGAGAAGTTTGGACCCAAATCTCAGAGCTGGGTCCTCTCTAGCTTGAAGAGAAGCAGTTATCAACAGTAAACTAAGATCCCCAAGACACTTGCTCCTGACATTCCCAAGTTGCCATTGGCAGGATCAAAACAGAACTAAGCCTCTGGAATTCAAGCACTGTTGCAGACTAGTCTAAGTACCCCAGCATCCACAATCTAGTTAGCCCCTGGAAACTCCTTCGGAGGGCAGAAATTCAGACGTCACTAAACCTATTATATCCGATTCTGCATTTTTAAATACCCCCTGGGTATTCCACTGATGAGAGTAAAATTGGAATATAGGTAGGATTTCATTTCTTATCTATGGGCTTCTTTCTCTACCTTTGGCCTCATTATTCCCTGCACTCTTCAATACCACTCCAAGCAATCAAAATCTTCAAGTTAACTGCACCTCCCACTGACATCCCAGAGCCCTGCTGCTAGGCACAACCCTTGAAGTTTAATGACACTCCTCTGTTAAAGCTGTCCTACCCCCTTTCTCATCAAAATTTCCATTACCTAGGTTCTCTATGTGGTGACATTTTTTTCTGACACATCTACCCCCTTTTAGGGGACATGACTGTTTTTATTGCATGAGTATTATTCAATGCATGCTCCAAGATCATGATTATCTAACAGGAGAAACAACTGAAGGCCCTGCAAATTCTAAGGATAGGTTTGGAAGCCACTTATACTTGAACTTCACCAGTGACTCAGGGCCCCCTGGATATCTTTGCTGATTACTTTTTGTCTTCCTCTGAGTGGAGATCTGGCAGAGTTAATTTCACTTTGCAGTCCAAAGTCAGGAATAAGAATACCACTGACATTAGATCATAAAAGTTGCTGGTTAGAAAAACTGAACCCTGGAGTGTTTTGTTTTGTTTTATTTTATTACTGATATCACCAATCTTTGTGGTATATTGGGAAATGATGACTTCTTGTGTTGTCGCTCCCAAGGTACATGCTACAGTTGTGGCTATAAAACGTTGATGAAACATCTCTGAGCTTGATTTGGGGTTCAAAATTCATTTCAGGTTCCTCATCATCAGCTCCTAGGATCTAATGCATATCTCCAGTCCTTTCTGAAGTTTCCTCTGACAATGGATCTTTTTTATTTGGAACAATGGGAGGTGTTTTTTCATTTTGGCTAAAGCCGAATATATGTTAAATTGTAACTTAAATTCAATACCCATATAGAAGAAAATATATTTTGGATGAGCTATTTTATTTCCTGAAAGAATAGAAAGAAGTTGCAAGCGTCACTAACATCAAGAGAGGAATTTTTAATCCAGATAAAGTCAACTGTATAAAGATATACTTTCTATCCAGTGATGAATCTTAGAGGTGTGTAAGGCTACTATATTTCCATTTTAGGTCACTGATAGACTCTGCTTATATTCTCTCGTGAATTTAGAGACCAATCCTCTATACTGGTCTTTAATAGTTTCATTTTTGGCTGTGAGAGAGGAAAGATTGAACCCATAAGAATAGAAAAACGTTATTCTCTTTGGATGTTTAAACATCCCTGAGGGCTGAAAAGCCTTTATTAAATAAATTAATGTTCTACAACTTCCAAAAACAGGATTCACATGGCTGAAAACTAGAGTCACTGTTCTGTCCTTAAAAATTGCCCTGTGAAACTCCTTCTTAATTGCTCCCTTTGTAATAGGAAGCTTAGTGAGAGCCGAGATACAACCTTCCTCAGTATGAGCCTGGATTTGAAAAATGGGAACATCTGAAAAATGCTCAAGGCCTCTGTTGACATCTTGAGCCCACTCCATGACTAATTCCCTGATGTAATCCAGAGACACCTGACTTAAATGATTCTCCTCTTGGAATGGGCATGAAATATGAATCTTTGTATATCTACTAGTAGATCAGTTCACTAAGATATAATAACAACTTCACCTTCCCTTCACTGGGTGCTAGTCTATGGTCCTAACTCCTTTTTATTCCAGTAGCACCATATCTTTTACATGTATTTCCTTAATATGTACTCCTAAATATGAAGTAATCTCTAGTCTCTGAGAAACATGCTACTGATCATGACAGAAAGAAATCAGAATTTCCACATGCGGTTAATAGGACCACCTATCTCTAACACTATGTGGAAGTTAATTTCTTCAACTCTCTGAGATTCAGTGTCCTCATCTTTTAAAATGGGTTAACACCATTTAATGATAATTATAAGAGATAAAAATTTATGGAGAATAAATGATAAAATGTCTGGTACAAAGAATTTGTTTGATTAAAGTAAAAGAAATGAACCTTCTTTTAATTAAAGTAAAAGAAATGGTACTACCCCTTCCCCATTCAGTTCAGAGTCCCTGTAGCTTTCTTGTTGCATTTGGAAGTAAAGAAAAGGCTGGTAGATTAACCCATTAGAAAGACATCATGCTATCCTATGAAGGTGACTATATCCCAATGTCTACTGGTCAGTGAGATACCAGCAAGGCTGAGTCAGGAGCTAGCTAGCTTGTACTGTCCTTAGTGTACAGATTTCTGTCCTCTAAACAAAAGCCAGCTGTCAGCCTTACTGCTTCCTGTCCGTTAATGAATCTTTTTTTTTTTTGCCTTTCTCTTCATGGTCTTAAATTTAGGCATGATCCAGAGAAACTAGACGCCTTCATCATGGACAAATCCCTTCTGGATTATGAAGTGTCAATAGATGCTGACTGCAAACTTCTAACTGTGGGGAAACCATTTGCCATCGAAGGTATGAATCAGTCACTCTTGATTCACTTTTTCTTAGGATGTGGTCAGTTTGCTAACCTAACTAGTTATAAATGCCAAAGACAGAGGCAGAGAGTCATTCATCTTCTCTTATTTTCATTTCCAGCTCCAAAATACTTATCTGTTTAGTTGCTGAATAACTTTTCAGCTACTCCACAAACTCCTATCTATCCAGTTACTAGAAAAGCTTTTCTTTTTCTTTCTGAGTCACACCCAGTGATGCACAGGGGTTACTCATGGCTCATGCACTCCTGGTGGTGCTCGAGGGACCATGTGAGATGCTGGGAATTGAACCTGGGTCAGCCGAATACAAGCAAACAACCTACCTGCTGTGCTATTGCTCCAGCCCCTAGAAAAACTATTTTAAAAGCACCGCTGTTATCCAAACAGTGTGATATCAGGTATCTGAGATTGATGGTCCACTATAAGAAATGGGGAGACCAATTTTAATGTGCATTTTCTGATGGCCAAATCCTGTAACAAATCCAATGCAAAAGCATGAAGGATTGCATTTTACAACTGAAAGGAACCCAGCACTGATCAGATACAAAGGATTTTTTTCCCCTTCCAATTCTTTCATTACTGTGGTGGTGACTGAAGGCAGCACATATGTTTGGTTGTGGGATACCCTGGGAATTGCAAGTCTGGTTATGGCTCTTGCACACTCAGCTGCAGAGCTTGCCAGGGGTTAGTCTGTGTTGTAGTGCTCACACATGTGGTCACCAGCAATCACCTGGCCATGGTATTGGTCCTCTTAAGTTGTGGTGCTTGCAAGAACTCACACACTTTTAGCTGTAATACTCACACACGCCTGGCTACAGTGCACTGGAGATCACAGATTCTGCTTCAACTCCTGGGATTCCAGACAAGTGCAGCCACTCATCCCTTGCTCTGTGCATTTGGGAAACACCTGGAATCAAACTAGCAACCGTACATTTACAAAGCAGGCATTTTTGCCACTGAGTAATTCCTGAGTTCCTTGACTTATTTTATATTCAAGAAAGTGCAGGTAGGGGTGGGAGCAATATTACAGTGGAGGGGGAGGGGGCATATGCCTTGCACGCAGCCAACCCAGGTTCTATGCCAGGCATGCAACCTGGGAGTAATCCAGCCCAGCGCTGCTGGGAGTAATTCCTGAATGCAGAACCATGAGTCACCCCTGAGCATGACCAAACTAGTCAAAAGAAAAAAGGGTAAAAAAGAAAGTGTAGGAACATTGCATTGCTTTTCCCCCCATAATCCTGAAATTGGATGAAAATACTGTATTGCACTGTCTTCCCGTTGTTCATCGATTTGCTCGAGCAGGCACAGTAACATCTCCATCATGAGACTTGTTGTTACTGTGTTTGGCATATTGAATACGTCCCAGGTAGCTTGCCAGATTTTGCTGTGCAGGCTAGATACTCTCAGTAGCTTGCCGGTCTCTCCAAGAGGGGCGGAGGAATCAAACCCGGCTCAGCCCTGCATGCAGCCAGATGAAAATACAGGAATTAAAATTCTAATCTCAGGGTTTTGAATGACTAATTTTTCCATTAGTTGAAAAATAAGTAGGAAAAAAATATACACCTATAGCTTAGTAATCTTAAGAGTCCTTAATAAATCTTGTTTAGGACCTCAAGTTTGCCTTTCTCCCTACTGGCAGCAAATTTTTACTCCCAATTTAGTCAACCAATCAATCAAACTTCAGAGCCAAAGAACTGCTTTGTCAGTGATACCTCTCATGCTGGACCACGGTTGATATATAGAACTGAGAGCTTGAAGCAGCATATTTCACATCACCCAATTCCCAGCGCCCCTTCTCTGACAGTGCATGTTGGATCTCCAGACAGCCATGCACACTTGTCAGAAAACACTTTGGCTGGAAACAATCCCAGCGGGAGCGGGCTGCCCAAGTCCTATTTCCAGAAAACTCAGCTTTCCTGTATGCTCGTTAACTAGTATATTATGACTATTCTGATTCCAAAGTCCAAGCCACTGCTGTTAGTCTCTGTCTCCCCTCAGCACATCAGCAAATTTTTTACCTCTGTTTTTGTTTTTTGTGATGAATGAGAATTTAACGCCTGATGCTGTTCAAATCTTTTCCTAGGAGAAATTAATCTCTTCTCTAGGCAAAGTGACCTCCACCTGAACCAAGGCTGACTTAGGAAGAGAGAAACTTAGTGACCAGGATCTTCTATTTCCATCCACAGTCAGAGATAACGAAGGCACAAAAAGAAAAGAGAAAGCTAGAAAACTGAAAAAAAAAATCTATTTTATCGCCTTATTTTGTTGCAGCAATGGGAAAATTCTTATTTTTGTGGCATCTGGGGATCTTGAGGGGATGTCACTTTTTTTCTGTCCGAGATGCATTGAGTGACTCAGGTTTCTTCACCCATTTGCAGCTACCAACAATGAATCACTTGCAGCAGGAAGACTGAGGGGCACCTCTGTCTTCAGGGGGTAACCCCATCTTGTCAAACATCAGTAGTGAGAGGCCTTGTTTGCCTTTGCTAGACCCCAGTGCCAGATGCCACACAATTAACTTCCCACTGGCTTCCTGTTTACACTTCCATCTGTGCTCCTGAGACTTAGTGCCTTGCAGTTCCCATTCTCTAGGCACTTACATTGTTTTCAAAAGGGGACAAACCCAAAATGGCACATGGAAGAGCTCTTTCTGCAAGCAAGCAGAAACACTGCAGATGGGATAAAGAGGATATCCCCATGATTGTTGGTTTATTTTTTTTTTGCTTTTGTTTTGGGGGGCAACACCCAGCTGGGCTCATATTTTACTCCTGGCTCTGCACTCAGATATCACTCTTGGCAGAGTTCAAACCCAGGTCAGCTGTGTGCAAGGCAGAAGCCATGCCCTTGGTACTCTCGCTCCAATCCTATTCGTTTATTGAAAAATAAGAAAACTTAATGTAGGGGTCGGAGTGACAGTATAGCAGATAGTACATTTGCCTTGCACTAGGCAGACCCAGTTTCAATTCCCAGCATCTCCTATGGTTCGCCAATTATTGCCAGGAGTAATACCTGAGTGCAGAACCAGGAGTAACCCCTGAGCATCTCCAGGTGTGAATAAAAAAACAAACAAACAAAAAGAAACCTAATTAATTAAAACCCCTACAGAGCCTGGCAAGCTACCCATGACGTATGTGATATACCAAAAACAGTAACAATAATGGGTCTCATTCCCCTGACCCTGAAAGAGCCTCCAATATGGCAGCGCTGGGAAAGACAAGTAAGGAGAGGCTGCTAAAATCTCAGGGCTGCAATGAATGAAGACGTTACTGCCGCCTGCTTGAGTAAATCGATGAACAATGGGAGGACAGTGATACAGTGATGCTAACAAATTTAAAATCTAAAATTATAAATTCATGAAATTCAAAGGGAAGATATATATAAGTTGCAAACAACAATAAGAATGGTCTTAATTATTGTAACTTTTCAAAGTATTTGCACAAATTTTAAAAATACTTAACCAGACTTATCAAAATATTACATGCTTTCCTTTAACCAAACACTTAGACTTTCTTAAATTGAAACTCTGAATGTTTATTAATCAGGCTATAAGAATAAAAAATGTAATCAGTGCAGTTTAGATATGCCAGACACAGTAACAACAAAGTCTCCAATGGAGACGTTACTGGGCCCGCTCGAGCAAATCGACGATCAACGGGAGGGCCTTTACCTTTTACCTGTACTTATTTAGTAGTTTTCAGAAATGTTTTATGTACTGTCAGTGTTCCTTTGCACTATATAGTACAATGCTAGGACCATGATAACTGTGTAATAAATGATATCTATTGTTTAACTTAATAAGTTAAATTTGAAATAAATACCTAAATCACTTACTAATGTAGTTGTTAACTGAGGGTCTGTATATAATTTCCCAAGTGCTTGCATGACTTCAGGAAGTTGGACAGGAGAGAAAACAGTCCATTGATTCCATCATGCTGAATGTATATTTATTCTCAATATACTGATATGCACCAACTCATTGTGATTACTTCCTACTCCCAACTTTGCCACCCTTCATTTTATTTAGGATTAAAGGATCAAAATAAGCCAGTGAGAGACAGTATCCCACACTGAAATTGAAGCCATTTCATGAGTATTCAGGATGCCAAATCTAAACTATTATCTATTCAAGAACATGTGGAAAGTCTTTGTTCGTATCGAATACCATACACCAGGGGCACAAAAAAATCTATTGTGTACTCTGGAAAAAAAAAGTGTTGAGATAAATGAATACATGTTCTAAATTTATGCATTGGAGTTAGCTGACAGCAAAGGTCAAAAGAAAAAACAAATGAAACTGTACAGTAATGATTTGTGATCTTTCTCTTGAAGACCTTTGCTTGTTTTTGAATTTGTTCTTATTTCCAGTAATTATTTAATATAGTGCTTGGAAAATTAATTCTGGAATCTGAGTGCTTGCCTTGGAACAGTTGTTGTGTCTGGAGAGATAGTATAGAAGGTAGTACACTTGCCTTGTGTGCAGCCAGCCTGGCACCTGGCACCCCATTTTTTCCCCAAGCACCATCAGGAGTGATCCCTGAGAGCAGAACCTGGAGTAAACCCTGTGTACCACCAGGTGAGCCTGTGCCCAGACCAAATAAATAAATAAATAAATAAATAAATAAATAAATGAGTTATTTCTAACTATACTGTACTGGGCAAATTAATGGTTAATATGTTCTTAAAATTCTTCATCTGCATAACAGATTTATGAATACCTCTTTGATAGTGTTCTTATGAAATTAAATAAAATAGTACATGTGAAGAAAGTATACATATGCATGGCACATGGTAGATACTCAATAAATTATTTTTTCAATATCCTTAATTAAAGCAGATTCACTATAAAATTATCCCAGAGTAAATAGCCTTTATATAACTCAGTTCCTCCCACCTACTTCTCCCTCTATTTTGATATATTAGGGATAAGGGAAACCATTTTTAAAGTCTCCTTTATATAGGGACTTTTGCAGTGTGTCCTCA